TAAATCTGCAGACAACATAGAAGGAGTACTAGATATGCATGGGCTTGAATCCTGGCTCTGCTATTTCCTAGCTTTGCTAAACTGAGACAGGTTAGTTTCCCTCCATGTGCTTGTTTCCACATCCTTAACATGAGATGATAATAGATGATCCCTTATAAAGTTGTGGTGAGGATTATGTGAAGTGATCTGTGTAAAATCTTTAGCACTGTGCCTGCCATTGAGTAGGCACTGGACAAATGGCAGCTCCTACTATCTACCCATAAGTATCCAAGAGTCACGCACTGCTCCAAGCAGATCACCATGGCTGCCATCACACCCTCTGAGTTTTGTCTGAATTTACAATTTTGAGGGAAATACCCTCCAAACTGGGAGTGATGGCCTCTTCTTCCACTCCTCAGAAGCTCACTGCATACACCCTGATAGCTCAGGCCATGAGAATCATCCCCCAAACACCCCACCAAAGAACAGGGGCTCCCTGAAAGGATAGGGTACAGAAAGCAAGGTCACCCTGGTCCTCCATCCAAATGGGAAGGTGAAGGGAAGCAAGGAGTACTGAAGGGTCACAGGGGTCCTCAAACTACGGCCCGTGGGCCACATGCAAATACAAATATTGTATTTGTTCCCGTTTTGTTTTTTTACTTCAAAATAAGATATGTGTAGTGTGCATAAGAATTTGTTCATAGTTTTTTTTAAACTATAGTCCGGCCCTCCAACGGTCTGAGGGACAGTGAACTGGCCCCCTGTTTAAAAAGTTTGAGGACCCCTGGTCATAGAGGATGGTGAGGGGTGAGGGTGGAGAGCATGATGCTGCAGTGGGGGATTTGGGAAGGCTGCCATCAACCAATCGAGAAATGAGCAGAGACTCAGGTAAGTATGTAACTTAGGAGAGAAGAAAAGTGCAGATTCAGGAAAAGAATGTAGAATGTGAGTAGATTTGGCAAGAGATGAGTCCAAAATGAAACATCACTCTTCCCCCTGTATCACAGTCATGTTGCAATAGAAGCAAGGCAAAAGTCAGAAATGAGAGAAGGAACGAAAAACCAGAGCCCTGTGTCCACTGTGTGCTTGAGGGGTTAATCTTACAGATAGTTCAGGATGGAGAGGAAGATCCAGCTCATGGCTGTGACGCTTAAAACTCATAGTACCCTTTGAGACAGCATGGAAGAACTTGGAGAATGTTATCTAAGTGAACTAAACCAGTGAGAGAAAGACAAGTATCACATGATTTCACTTATATGTGGAATCTAATGAACAAAATAAACTGATAGACAAAATAGGTCCAGAGGCATAGAAGCAGGGCATTGACTATCAAATCTCAAAGGGAAAGGAGGAGGGGGGAAGGGAAGAGAGGAATGAGGGGACAGGAAGAGATTAACCAAAGAATTTATATGCATATATGCATAGCCCTTGGACACAGACAATAGTGTGTGAAGTCCTGGGGTGGGGTGGGAACCGGGTGGAGGGGGGCAATGGGGGAAAATGGAGGACATCTGTAATACTCTCAACAAAAAAAGGTAAATTTATAAAAACAAAAAATTTCTAGTACAGTGCTGTGGTGGTGGCAGTTTAAATGCAAATTTGTTAAGCCCACGAAGTGTTTATTACATGTGAATTTAATTTTTAAAAACATCTAATAGAAAAAACCCTGAAAGTTCCTAGACCTATTATGATTGTGATTTCTGAATATTTTTCCTGCTGGTGTCAGATTTAAGGGGGAGGAAGCCAAGTAAGAAAAAAAAAAAAAAGAAGATTCCAGTTATTTTTTGCTCACTGGGGAACATATGCTTTCCAAATAAGGGAGGAGAGGGGAGGAGCTGCCTGGGTTCTTTCCCAGCTCTGAGTCTCAGTTGGCTCCGGTATAGATTCACTCTCCCCAAACTGGCAGCCTTTAGTTCCAATATTTTTCTGAGAAATGTACAATCTCAAGGGAGCTCCTTAGAGAGTTGCTCTAACCCCAAGGAAACATCTGTCTAAGGGGGCCCTGACGTCTAATCATTAACTTAGAATCAGTGGAGGGCAGGGCTCCTTCCCTGTCTCTTTCTCCCCACTCTGCTGGGCACAGAGTGGGTGGTCAGTAAAAATTACATTGAATGACTTACCTACTGAATGAATGAATGAGTGCTAAACTTCACAGTGATCTATCAGAGATGTTAGAGAGAAAACAGGGTTTATCTACAGAATAAAAGACACAAAAAACATATCAATTGTCATATGGCGACCTTGAATGGATTTTTATTTAAACACAAAAATTGAAGCAATTGGGAAACTTGAACACTGATCAGGTATTTTGATCATTTTTGTTTGCCCTGCATTGTGTTTTTGCAAAACTTTCAATGTTGTCATTTAAAAAAGAGAGATTTGACATTAAAATCCAGATTTTCAGCTTATTTTGAAAAAATGGGAATATCTGGCCACAGATGGGCCCATCTCTTCACTTGGCTATCAAGGCTGGAATTAAGGAGAGCTTGCTTTCTTTTGGGCCTCAGGTTCAGAACAAGTGCCAATTCTTCCACGAAGGCTTCCCTGATCACCCCAACTAGGATTGCTTTCTCATCCTGCTGAGTTCTTAGAACACAGTTTAATTTCTCACCCAGTTCCCAGCATATGGTGCCTGTGTTTGTTTTGTTTTGTTTTTTTGTAGACATCACCCCACACCTGGGTAGGATTAAGGACTTTAGAGGCTTTGAATACTGAAAACAATATGAAGGGTGACTCTCCATATGTAATTCCAAATCTGATTTCATTTTTCAAAGTGGTGGTATGTACAAGTAAACTGAAGACAAAATTTCTAGATTTAAATGAAAATTCTCCAACTTCTTATTTTGAAAAATTTCAAGCCCACAGAAGAGTTGAAAGACTAGTAAAATCAACATTTCTGTAACCATCGAGTCACAAATTTTTAACACTTTTTTATATTTGCTGTTTTTTTCCTTTGAACTACTTAATGTTTCAGACATTATGATGTTTTACCCTTAAATTCTTCAGTATTTATTTCTTAAGAAAAAGGGCATTTTCTTAGATGACCACAGTATCATTTTTACACCCAAGAAATTTGACCTTGATACAATAAGATCATCTAATATATAGTTCATTCAAATTTCCCTACTTGTCTCAATTATAAGTGCCCCAGATTTTGTTTTAATCTAGGTTTTAATCAAGGATCATGTACTGTATTACACTTGGTCTCTTCCTGTGATCTGGATCACTTCCTGGGAGTCTGTTTTTAATCTTTCATGACATTAACATTTTGAAGCATCCTGGCCAAGTGTTTTGTAGAAAATGCCACAGTATTTTGTATTTGTCTGAATGGGTTCAACAATTTCAATATTTTTGCAAGAAACTCCAAAGGTGATGTTGCATTTTTCTAGGTTTTTTATTCGTGAAGTTCCAGATAAATTCATCAAAGCTGAATTTGTGTGTGTGTGTGTGTGTGTGTGTGTGTGTGTGTGTGTGTGTACAGAACATATGCTTTGCTGGCACCCTAATCACATGTGTGCCATATTAATAAACATTGAGGTCAGGCAAAGCATTGTTCTCTGTATATGCATAGGAGCAGCGGTTTTGCTATAATGCCAAACTTCCCCTGCCCTACTGGTATTAATCTATAGCCTCACCAACACTTATTTATTGCCTGCTCTTTAATTTTTGCCAAATCTGTAGGTTTAAGAAGATACCTTTGTATTCTCTGGACTGCTAAAGCTTGAGTATCTTATGTCAATTGACCATTTTGTGTTTTCTCTCCTGTAAAGGGCCTGTTTGTGTTTTCTACCCACTTTTTGGAGGTTGTCTTTTACTTATGTGTTTTTAGATCTTTATATATTCTGGATACTAATCATTTATGAATTATATACCATAAATCTGAAATCTCACGAAACAGCATGGCACAAGGCTAAGCTTATGGATACTGTGTTCAGACATTTTGAGTTCAAATTCTACTTCCCTTACATATAATTGTGTGACTCTGGAAAATTATTTAACCTCTCTCTGCTTTAGTTTTCTTATCTATAAAATGGAGTGGTAATGGTACCTACCTAATAGGATAGTAGGGGATTACATGAATTATTAAATGCAATGCAGTTAGAACAGTACCTGGTACATAGTAAGAGTCAATAAGTGCTGTTGTTAGGTTCTCCCATTTTACAGCTCCTATGTAATTTTGAGACACAGTAGGCTCATAAAAGTGTGTATCTCACAAGTGCTCTCCTGCCCCATTTGGGAGTCTCCTGCCCTTTCGATAAACTGCTCCTTAAAACCGTGTGCCACACCATACTAATAAAGGAGGTGACTCCACTTTGCACAGGCAAGCACCCATGAAAGTGACGTATTTTCAAAGGCACATCCAGCCAAGGAAGTTTTTCCTTGTGGGTGGGAAAAACATTCTGCAAACTCCAAGGGTCTCCTCCAATATCTGGAGAGATTAATGCCAGTGAATACTCTCCTTCACTTAAAAGACCCATGAGCACCCTGTAGATAATTCGCGCAACTTTGAGACTTAACAGTGTCATGATTTATTTTGCAACAACTTAAGAACATCTCTGCTCATGATCGGGCCCCTAGCACCTCATAGAAACCTCTCTCCTTACTACCTCTCCCTGGGCCTCTTCCTCCAAATTGGGACTTTCTTTGTGTAGTGTTCCAAAGACTAGCAAACTCGTGATACAAGCGCATCCAGGAGATACTCAGTACAAGCTCCCTCAGTGAACGAATGATGGAAGGAATGTTACTGCGTTGCCAGGTAAAAGTGACGAAAGGGGAAAAGGAATGTTGGATGGCCAAGCCGCTTGCTGACTGGCTGGCCCCCACAATGGGGGTGGGAGAGCTCGGAACGTACCGCAGGGTTTCATTAGCCTAGGTGGTCTCGGCCAGGCAGGTCACCACGTGGTGGGTGGAAAGCAGCGCTGCCCACTTAGGGGGTCCCAGGCGGGCGGGACGAGGGCGGAGCCGCCCCGCCACGCCTTCTGGCGGCGGAATCCTGGCTCGAGCGGTGGCCGCGCCGGGAGCCTGCGCACTGTGGCGACAACGACAGTAGAGGCTCAGGGATCAATTGCTGGAAGATGGCGGAACGCGCCGCCACTGGAGGCGGAACATCCTTGAGGGGGATGCGGGAACGCATGGGTGAGCGGGCGGCGGCGGCTTCCTGGGGGGAGGGTGCGGGGGCTCGGACTGCGCGGGAGGCGGGGTTCCCGCGGCCCGGAGACCGGAGACCGTTGGAGCTGAGCGGTGGGCGCCAGAAAACTTTACCCTGGAGTTGCCTCTTGCCGTCTGGTCCCGCTCTTATCCCCGCAGAAGTCCTCTGGAACGGGACGGGGAGTTGTGATGGGACAGGGACGGATGGGGCAACTGCGAGCCAGCGCCGCCAACGGCCGAACCCCGGGAGCGGGGCACGAAGGAAGTAACGGGCGCTGCTGGGCGGGGGGTGGCCTAAAAACCCGGACTCCGCGGACGTTCCCGAGCCCCGCCTGTTGTTGGTGTTGGGGGGGCGGGGGGAGGCGTGCGCCCCCGCAACTGGCGGAACGGACGCTGGGCTGCTGAGGATGCGCGAGCGCCTCGAAGGACCCCTAGTACCGGGACCGCCTCCGCGACCGGGCGCAGCCCTCCAGGCATC